AATTCTCATAGTTATTTTCATATCATCCTGTATATACCTCATTTTGAGTTTTTGTATCCAAACACTTCAACATTATCAGGAATCTCCCACACAATGTGAATTCTCCAGAAAACATTCTCAACATTCAATGTTTTTTATTGTTCGTTGATAAACTGCATACACCATAAATATCATTTCAAAGAAAGAAAAAATCTCCGACATGAAAGCTTCGATTCAACAAATTTTGAAATTGATTCGAGAAAAAACATCAAGATTCATGATCAAGCATCATGAAAAAATATTTGATCAGAAACCAATTATCATCCTGTAGAACGTTCATTTGGATTATTCGTAATCTAATATTGTTGTGACGAATAACCAAAAAATTGGGATAGCCAACTGTGTAATTCGATTTTTGAATCGGCCTACATTTTGTACCACGAAGTTCATTTCAGTTTGTTTTTATCCTCAAGTTTACTATCGATGGTAGTTATATTAGATGACGATTTTCAGAAGACTACGCAGATTCCTCAGTCCCGTGGTAATTAGAAGACGATCCCTGTCATCTTCCTCCTGTTCATCTCTGAGTGCCACTAGCATTCAACTAGAAGTTCCTAGACCTCGTTCAGCTAGTAATGAAGACTGCACCCTAAACGAGATGATGGGAAACTACGACGAGAGCTATGTTTACGAAAAAGAGACCGATATCCTTAGCGACAGCGATCCAACCGAATGCGACACTGACATAGATACCGGCCAAGATGGCGGAGACGAGGACGATCCCTTCGAAGGGGAGCTGGACTTCATAGACAACGGCTCACATCTGGAGCTGGAAGCTAGAATAGAGCAAAACACGGGACACTGTTCGTACTTCAACTATGAAGTCCAAAGGAGAAGGTCTTCCAGGAAGAAAGCGCAGCAGCGCAGGAGCAAGTGTAGCGACAAAAAACGCAGATCTTGTTCTAGCAAAAAGCGACAGCCCAAACAAGTCGAAAAAGAAAGATTCCAACACAACTTTATGGACGGCTCCAAGAGCGCTGGGGCTACCCCTGTATCTGTACGTAGAGCTGACAGTAGACCTGTCTCCAAACTAGCTCAGGACGATCGTTTGAGGAGGAGGTCCAACTCAGTAAGCGTATACAGAGACCCGATCACCACCATAGATAAAAGAGACAAAGAAGCTGATCTGAAATACAGAGAGCTGATCACAGAGGCCGAACAGATCCTCAGGGCGATGAAGACCAACGGCTTGTCTCCTAGAAGGATTCCTGGACCGGCCAATAAGAGAGTTGAATTGCTCAGGTTCACAGAGTGTGCCAAACCTGATGTTTTCATTAAAAATCGAGCGCCAGTAATGGAGGACAATGTAACGACTAACCCGTTTTGTTCGAAAGTTCCGTCCACTAGTGGTTACCACTGTCCGAGATTTAGTCCTAAGAAAAACCATATCACTAAGTTTATTATAAGCAACTCCCCAGTTCTGGCTAGAAAAGAATGGGAAACCCAGCCTTTGATTTATAAGGCCCCTGTTGATGAAACACACCATGTGCAGAAAGGTATCTTGCACAAAGAAAAGATACCAGAGACTTCGAGGATGAGTCCGAAACACCGAAGGAAACTCAGCAGGCACATAGCCGACTCTAGCTCAGATTCAGGAGAGGAGCTCAAGGGAAATCGCACATCTGGTTGTCCTCATAGTGAACCGGTGAGGAGAAAAGTTTACACCGGGTCTAAAACTCCTCACAAGCCTCACGGAAACATGAAATCAGTTGCCTTCAACATCGCTATCAACGCCGATGATTATTCACACAAAGAGTACGCGACAACTAGTACTGAAAACTTGAGACAGCAGGTCCTATTGAACACCATTGCGAATTTAAAGAGAAATTTAGAAGACCACTCTGCCTCGTTGAAGCAGGTGTACAGAAGTTCCCAGAATATTTATACATAAATGGAAGTTAGAAGGGTATTATGGAAACATTTGCAATTTTATACTATACCTATATGTTCCAGAAGCCTACATATATTTTACAGCAGGTAACGGTAAATCTCTTTGATATTAGAGTAATATGAATGTGTAAACTTTATTCAGAAATATTCCAAAAAAATAGAGGATTCTATTGGTAAAACCAGTGCGCACTCAGGGTATACATTTCTCTCTCTGCTACACGTCAAAAAGGAAGAGATATATACACTGAGTGCATCAGTTCGTGCCCAATGGAAACCGCTATAAAAAACAAGCTGCTCCATAGAAAACATATTATCCTTTAGATGTTATATAACGTTCATTCGTTTATATGTTGAACTAGTTAAAAGTCAAAAAAACTAGGTTTTGTTATCGTCTTCTAAACGTCGCTACATGTGCATTTGAAATGTTACTAAACCATGTTCCAATGAACGTTGAGGGTATACGTTAGGTTTATGTTTCATATGCCAACGTATGGAATTTTGTGTTTCATGAGAGTGTTGAGTTAATATTTCTGAAAAAAAGGTATCAACATCATTTTGTAGAGGTGAAACGTTTGGTTGAGAGTTTGATAGTAGTGATCGATTGGAAATATTGTAGACAACCATTTATCCAATAGCATAATGAAATAGCAAATAGAAAAATATTAGTTACTCCACTAGTTTTTGGCTCACATATTGGTAGTAACAGTTACATGTTAGATGATTTTTGTTTTTGAGTGTATTGTTATTTGTTATCGGAAATATTGCATTTAGCAAGTAAAAATCGTTGTTGAAGTTTTTTTGTGCAATAATACTTTTACGTGTGGGCCGTATTTTAATAGCCAGAAAGTAGCATATTGGGTAGGTACAATAGATATTTATCGTTTGTAATGTAATATCTATACGTATAGACGTTGGAAAACATATTACCTAATGGTGAAATCACCATGCATTCCATTTTTTCCGAAGTACTCATTGGGAGTATCAACGCCTATGTGTATCTTTATACCTGAGTGTTTTCTTTGGCTCTTTTCAGATATGATCATAAAATGAAACAAAAAAACTCGCCCTGTTGGAAGAAGTAATGAGTATACACTCGGATTGACCTGGTTATTAATATCTCGGAGTTTAAGAATAGCTAGGTAGGTACTTTTACGATAAGAAATAATATACCGACTACCGAGTATTATCTACAATGCCTTTAGAATCCATGTCAGGGTAGTGAAGTGGTTTTTAGAATATTTTTCAAGAAATTGAGAACTTGATTTCAGATTCATTAGTCTCAGTTCGAATTATGAGCCTTCCATAACAAGATTTTCTTTTTTTTTTCAGTGACATTTTGAATGTCAATAAATGCATGGCTCTAAATATTTTGCTTTCAGTCTTCCTTGGTGGATTTTCAGGATGATTTGATACATTTCCATAATTTATTTAGACAATAAATATTTTTTATTAATTCTAGTTACAGTTTTTGATTTGTTTATAAAAACATCAATATCCTGTATGCAGTTACTATACTGGCCTATTTTTATGGACAATGTACAATATATTATGTATTTTGAATTACCAGAACAGCACTGATGAGCTTAACAATTCATTTGTGATCTACATAAATATTTAATCGTTAAATTTTTCGACTGTTTACTTCATTAGTACAATATATTGATACCAACATGACAAATAGTTTCATTCAGTCCTTATTAACTATATGAGAATTCTATTTTTTGATTGAAATTCTGAATGGCAACATTTGATCAACCTGTGACATTTTTTGTCGTTATCGATCAACGCGCCAATAGCACTAGGGTCAATATAGATAATCAATAAATCAATGCCAGCGTGTATTGCGCAATCTTTGTGCTTGGTTCCCAAAAATCAATGATAAATGAAGACAACAAAAGTATATTTCATATTTATTTTATATTTCACAAGTGTTCTCGATTAATTGTGTAGGTACTATATTGAGAGGTATATTTTGTGTGGTGCTAGTTGAAGACAGGATAAAGGACTAGTCCAGTAAAGTTTATGGCACCAAAAACCTTCTACGGTATAGACTCTGTCTATTACAGCTGGTAGATTAGCAATACTCTTCTGCTCCTGGTTCATTTTTTTGAGTTAGGGGTAGAATTTCGCCCAACTTTATCAGACTACATTGGGATAACAGAGGGTGGGAATAAAGAGGGGTAGGAAGTGTGGTGGAGCGATTTCCGCATATTACGAAGTATATCACATCTTTATATATTGTAAATCTCGGCGGGACATGGCTTAAGGGAGTTACAAGGAGAGGGAAGGAATGAAAAAAATTACAGCGAGACTAGCTCTGTCAAGATATAGGACATCTCGGTATTCTCTAAACCTGCTGAGATGTTGATCGAGTGACTGGCTATAGAAAGTTATGCAAATTCGAGGTTTTGCCTCGAAATCTCGAAATGCCAAGAGATAGGAGAGGGAATTGGAATAATTATATTCTCATCCATTGAATTAATGTCAGTTCCATTCTTTATATAGTTCCTAACCGAAAGGAAGGAAATACTGAAACCACTTTCACTTCACCAGTTATTTTGAAACGCTGGTCATGAGATCTAGTTCCCTATGCCGGGTTTCCACCAAGCGGACAGGACAAAATGACAAAAACAAAACACGAGCTCGGTCCGTTTGTGACAGTCCGCGAACTGTTCTAGAACTCTTGGAGCGTTAACTAAACTTGTTAGTCCACGAATAGGGTTTTTACGAACACAAACAGTGTCCCCCTCCTATGCTTATATCATCTTCTCTCAGATCTTGCAACAGTTTAGAAGTCACATTTTCTTCTTTTTGCCTTAAAAATGGCCTAATCCAAAATCGACGCAGAAATAAATCCTCACCTTGTTTTCTCAAATTTGCTGCGCAACATATTTTTACAACTGCACGTCCGGTGTCTATGTGAACTGAATAAAACTCAACCAAAACACAAACAGATTTTGTTGATTTCTGTTCATGACTGGTGTTAACACAAAGTCCGTTAGGGACCCAACAGTGTTGAATCACTTTCAGAACAAAACTATTCAAAATTTCTGTTCAAATGGACATTTCGTATTTTGTTTTTGTCCTGTCCGGCATTAGATATTTTGGAAATTGGAGCGATGAATAAAATATGGTGTTTTTGAACGTTTCAAAAAATGTACATGATCTCATCATACCACATCTCATAGCTATCATTGAACGTCCGGCAACTTTGCAGAGGTTACTGATATTTCTGGTGCTTCAGACCTCGCCAAAACAAACGTTTGGGTCCGGTTGTTAATCTCTGATGGATGATCCTAGGGCCGCGCGATATTGGATTTCACATATCGATTACCGATAATAAGTCAAAACATCGTCCGAAATATCGATATATTTATCGATATATCGATTTTTTCTTCCAGGCAAAGTAATCTAATTCATTCTCTCGACCAAATGATATAGAATCTTGAACCAATCTGAATCAACATAAAAACTATCTATCTATACGCAATATATTTTCACGCTTTAACGAAAGGCGGCGCTTGATGAAATAAAAAAATTATCGTGGAAATACCTAATGAGATAGAAACATGATATATGAAAAAAATGAAAATATTAGGACTATTGCCTGGGTGGATAATTAATTTATGTTTTCCAATACCGTGTGACATAGACTACCATAAGTTTTTATACCTATATTCCTGGAATTTGAAACATCGGATATGCTCACTAGAAGGCACTTTCTCACATTTCAGGATTTTTTTTTCATCTCATTTTCCTGGAAATTACAACAACTTTCGATTTTCGAATGGAACACCCTATGTTTTATTCCATAATCGGTTGAAGATTATTTAAACGAAATTCAACGTGACCGGGTTTGATTGGGTTATTTCAGATTACAAAGATATTCGCGTTCAAAATTTCCATATATGCTCAATGAGTTCGACAGAGAACGAAGTTTCGATACTGCGCCGTCAAATCCATTGAGCAAATGGAAACTTCAAACACAAATATCCTCGTAATACTTCGAAATAACTCTATCAAACCCTGTATCGTTGAATTCGTTATGATAATCCCTAACTGATTAAAGAATCAAATACAGTGTGTTCCATTTGAGAATCGAGAGTTGATTCCAGGAAAACCAGAAGATGAAAAAATCCTAAAGTGTGAGAAAGTGTCCTCTAGTGAGCAAATTCGATGAGAAAAAATTCGATAGTTATCTATAACTATAAAATTATTATTCATCAATAGATATCTAAATCCGTCTAAATATATCGAATAATCGATATTTATCGATATATTGATATTTTTGAAATCATATATCGTTTTTCGATTTACCGATATTTTTTTCCAGGCCTATCCACGACATTTCCAGGCAAACTTCTAATTCCAATATTTTACAAAAATTTAGTTTTATTTCTTCTTATATTCTTAGTTTCTATCACCCATTTCATTCAATGCTTCAAGCAACATCTCTCCTTTCCAGCGAACCGAGTGCAACTGATGAGGCGCTGTCTCGCTCTCGCCGGTAAGATCTTATTGTAAAAACCTCATTCCTATCTCTTGTGGCTTTCGGAGTCGATGTGAAATATCAAATTCAAATTTGAACAACCCTGTACAGGATAAAATGCAAAAGCAATCTGGGATACTTATGCAATAACTGCGTAGCAGGTAAGTTATCTTATGCAGAATCAAAATGTTCAATAAATGCTGAGATGTTTCGAACATAGAAATCGAATGATACAGGACAGTTAATACTGTAAAGATTCACAAAGTAAATTCCAGGGTTCCTAAAGTAATTATACAAAAAGATTACTATCAAAGTTTTTCGAATGTATATTTGAATCCATACCAACCTATTCAGTTTCTTTGAAGATCATCTATCCATTCTGACAACGTTGCATCACTACATATTATTTCACAGTCAAAAGTAATATTATTGCAGCATAATAATATTGGAGGTTATTCATACATTCATTCGTTAACTAAAAAAAAAAACATTTGTTTCATCATCTAAATGCCGTTTACTTACAAGTTGATCACCATGAAGAATGGGAAGAAAATGATTGTCCTACTTTGGAAACTAAATAAATCGTTCTGGAATGTCTTCAGTAGGGGTGAGAAAGATTTAATATTTCCAATGATGATCAACATGCAAGCTGTAATCAGTAATCACAGAAGTTAATTCATTTAAAAATACCTCATTATAGGAGTCGAGAGATCCTATCGCCGTACACTTACAAACTAACACAAATACTGCAATTTTTTTCTTTTGTCATCCCATCCCTCTAGTCGGGTAAAAAAGAGTTGGACCCTGGATTTGTTTCTCACAACTAACTGAATTTTTTTTACAAAAAAGCATACCCGTCCTAAACAATTGTTTCATTTTTATAAAAATATCAATAGATTCGTTTTGAGCATATCATGTTGTGTGCGCATGAGACAACACATTTGTTGAAATGAAAGGTTTGCTTAAAAAATTACCAGAGGCGGACTCCTCATGTAATGGTGTTACATTTTGGGTCAATTCTACTTTTCAAATCAATAAAAGATTTAAATCCCCTCAAAGATCAAGTGTTGAGCTAAAATCTGAAATACACTGATGATACTAAGAACATTTTGATGAAAACAAAAAAAACATAGCTCACATTTTCATCAAGTGAGCTGCTATATGTATATATTTTCTTAATTCGTTGCAATTATTATTTCTGATAGCTTTGAAGATTTTCTACCCCCTGAATCATAATCGGTTTGAATTTCATTTCTTTCATCGAATTACTTAGTTAAGTTCCATTCCGATTTCATCGTATCTAGAGATTGTCCAATTATTTTTCATTTTAATTTCATTAAGCCCAGAAGGAACTTCTGACAAAAAGTAATGAATAGCGAAAACTTCTTATAGAAGTAGTGTATGCCATTGAGAACATGAGGTTTTATTTGAAATTATGTTCCCGAATCGTTTTGAGTTTCCATCACATTACCTAGAGGCAACATCAAAGAATTATTATATACAGTGAGATCAGTTGGATCAGTGATATTCACGAACATTTCAAACACCTCACAAATGATTATTTCTACAAAACTTTATTGTGTTGAGATCTAAAATTGATTTTCATTCGTTGCTGATGAAGAAACGCCATTTCCCTTATTTTTCATTCTGAGAATGATTATTAATAATAAATTTCTGGGTATGAAGTTGAGCAAAATATGAAGTTGCTCATGTTCATCAAATAACCTAAATTTCAATTCAACAAAACACTAGCAAAAAAAATTTTATGAATGACCACTATGCATTTTGAAATTGCTACAGTTCTAAATCATGAAATGTTGAACAAATTTTCTTCAATACAAGACTAAACAGGATGTTCAGAAGAAGAATAATACCTACTTCTTTCAACCCACCTATATCTCAAAAACTGAGCGTTTTGGGAACACCTTTGTTGAATTACTCGAGGAATCCCATCTCATTTTTTTATATATTACTTGAATTATATTGTGATGTACATAGTTATTATCAAAGTCTGGATACAGATTATCTATTTCAGGAACATTCAACGAACCATTTGCACAATTCGATGCTGATTGGCGTACTATTAAATAGTATTCGAAAAATTCATTGCGAATGGAAAGCTCATTTTGTGTAGTTCTACGATTCTACGAATAAGCTAAGCTAGATTTAGTGCTACCCATTAAATGTTTATCACAGCCAATAGGAAAAAAAATCGTGCAAACGGCACACGAGCGTTGCAAAATTTAGTTAGTTCGAGACTCATTGAAACAGCTCAAAAGCTGCCATATCCAACTTTTTTACCCATCTGTCAGTGAGATGAACCGCAATTTTTCATTATTATTACACAACACTAATTTTTGAGAAGTGACGAGCGACTATTTTAGGTCCAGTTCAGAGTTTACATAATTATGATTCTTGTACAGAGTGAACATGTGCCGGAGAAACTGATTAATGCGAACACATCACACAGCGTCCTGCGTTATTTTTAATTTTTTTTTTTTCAATTTCGTCGAAGAGTTGGGGTTGGCTGTGGCCTGGTAGCGAGGTCACATGTCACCCGTGTACGTGCGAGGAATGATCCGAAGAATCGGCGTGTAGCGCCGGTCGCGGCTGTCTGCTTCAGACGCCCTGTATATAGTCGACCGTCGCCCGCCGAGGTTATTGTCGACTGTCGAGTCTGTCGTTAGGCCGCCTTGGTTCAAACTGGTGACGGCTTTAGCCGTCCTGGTCCCTGAACGGAAAATATTCGTCAAACCAAAAAGAAACAGGGTGGCACATCATATTGGATGAATTCGTCATAACAAAAAACAGCCCGGGTGGCACATCATATTCGTAGAATTCAAACACGCTTTCTGTTGTACAGGGTGGGCAAAATTGGGCGTTTTCATAGGCTATCTCAGTAACTGAAGGGAGTTATCAAATAATCGATATACATGTTACGGGTTTGATTTTAGAGAAACCTCGAATGGTAAAATTGGAATTTTGATATCTTCATTCGTTTCAGAGATACAGGGGGAAATTGAAAAATTACCCCGTATATTTTGGCACAATTGGATAGCCCTAGGCATTCCATATTCAAATATATATATTACCCTAACTTATTCTTTGACAAAGTTGAAAATATTCGCAAAAATATAGTGTATAATTTCAAATTTTATTTCATACCAAATATTCATTGTCTAGAAATGAAATATTTGAATCACATGTTCAATATTTATTTTGCTACTTTGTTTAATACATACAGAGTATCATTTTCAAGCTATATTCTGCCTCTTTATAGCATTTTCCAGAGATGTCGGTGATTCCATAGCTGCTGGCGAGCAGTGTTATCACTGGAGATGATCCCACATGATCCTCGAGTGTATCATTGGCATTTCTCTCACAGCTGCGAATATCGTACTCAATGATTATTTATTACGGAAGATACAGAGGTGCAACCATGAGAAATGTGACACATTGAGTATATTTTATATGGATAAAAATTTGAAATTTTACAATATCTCTCTTCATAAAGTACTCAGAAAATAAAAACGAAATCGGCAATTCTTCAATTTCCCCCTGTATCTCTGAAACAAATGAAGATATCGAAATTCCAATTGTAACATTCGAGGTTTCTCTAAAATCGAACCCGTAATATAAATATCAATTTTTTGATAACTCCTTCAGTTACTGAGATAGCCTATGAAAACGCCCAATTTTGCCCACCCTGTACGTCATTATTCGTTCACTACTCAACAATAAGTGCCGCATTTCACATCAACCAGATCACTATAGGTACCTAATGTCCGATGATGAATCACACTACAATATTATTGGATGAATTTGTCATAACAAAAAACAGCCCGGGTGGTACATCATATCATTGGATGAATTCATCATAACATGAAACAGCCCGGGTATAGTGTAATGCCCCCAACTTTCTTCGTTAGTTGGCCTACTACAGGGGGTCGTTACAAAGTAATTTTTCCTCGATCAATGGGTTCGTTGATTATTGAGGCAGGAGGCAGACTGAGATTGTAGACAATAAAGACAACATATAGATAGTTACTGAGACATATATTCAGGCAGTATGGTCAGGCAGAGGTTACAGGCAACAAAATCAAAGTTTGCTTATATTTTAGATTGCACATTATTGTTACACTGTTCACTTGCTTTTTCAATTGGCGAGAGATTCACTTCACTATTACGTCTTAGTCACCAAAGTTGCAGTTTACAATAAATCTACCTGAGTGGTCACTTACACAGGTATTATTAACGAAGTTCACTGGTACTGTTCGAACGTAGCATGTTTGATAGACAGTTACAAAGTCGGCTGGATACGTTTTATATTGAATCACGTTCAAGACTTGACATTTTACATTCTGGTCAACAGATTCAATGAATGTACTTCAATAATTATTCCCGAGGCTCACTAATGAAACTTTCAACTAACACAACGGAGATCGAGACATCGTATGGGAGAGACTGATCAAGACTGCTTCAAGAGTAACTTCAGACTGTCTTCTTTTATTCGGATTGTTCCTGCTTTTATACAGAATTTAGCAATAAATTTTGGAAGAATCAATTAAATATAAGACAAGCTCCATGTTGTGTTTATATAAGGCATGATTTTTCGTAGATTTTTGAGCGATACATTACAGATGTTAGGATTAATTTGCGAAACTAAAAAGATTTCGTTGTAGTTCTGAATTGTTATGACGATAAATAATTTTGAGCTATAACTCATACTCTTAATGTGAACAAAACTGTCACTTACTATAGTTTTCCATTAACCTATTTTCAAGTAATAATTCAACGTGGTTTATGATTCTCATTAATTTTTCTTGACTTCAATTTGCACAAGTGAGATGATTTCGATGTAACTCTCCAATGTTATGATAATAATTCACTCCAGGAATATTAACAAAATTGACAATTACATGGTCTTTCCTTTACGTATTTGGGCTAAATAATAATTTATTGATCTTTCGAGCCAATCAGATTAAAGTCAGTCCCTCTTTACTGAACTTATAAATTCTCTGCAAATTCTAATCAACGTCATTTTTGTCTCTCAATTCGGTCCTGTGATATTAACCTGCTTCGTTCTTAAGTGACCAGTGAATTCGTTTTACAAAGGTAACGTACCTACTTATTCTATACATTTATTTATGCTAATGATGCTGCACTCAATTCAAAATAAACATTCGTCCGTTCACGTAATAATATTGCCTAGTATAGACGCATGATAAAAGTTATTCTTGTTCAAGACAATTATTTTTCACTGTACTTAGTTCAAAAGAATTCAGTGCTCCATACCATTTTCTCTAAGATACCCGGCGTTCATTACATACCATCCATCCCTCGTAGACGAAATTGTATATCCAAATATATCAATTTCGTTCCTGGACTATAATCTTTATATTTCTTCAAGCGCCAGTATTACGTGAACATGACTCGTGAACTATTATATTGAGCATCTTATAGAATCTTCTGATGTTTACATAAGCTCGTGACCCAAATAGTTAATTACTTATAGAATAAACAAATAAATATCCCGGAATGATTTTTTTTACCTGCCGACCTTACAATTCATAGATCATTGCAATACCTACTAAATTTAGGTACCGCACTATTCAAATAAAATTGCTATATAAGATTCCAAACAATTATTTTCGATGAAATGAACTAACCTAACTCTATCTTCAAGTTTTTTCATAATTAATTGCATAAAGTAAGTATATAGTCACTATCACTAAACAAAAAATCCTAACTCAATAAGTGTAAACCAAATAGACATAACTTGAAATTCAACTCACATACTTCTGAAGGATCTATCTCAATTTGTCATATCAGCAATACCTAACGTTTTTCCTCTGGTGGGAGAAGTTGCTGGAAGTTGAAGATCTCCATGAGGAAGGTTGGGTCGTCCATAATGATGTTATCCATTGGAAATTCTGCTGTTGCTAGGAGTTCGTGCCTCTTGGACTGGCTGCTGTTGATCGTGATATCGAAGTAATCATACCAGCGAAGATAGTATTTGTCCCGGGATACCAGTCGGTATTTTTCCTGGGATACAAGTCCAACGACTTGTATGGGAAAAGTACTTGGAGAAGATGACCTATCAACGGAGCTGTTTTTTTTTTTTTCAAGGCAATGTTATATACACTGGAATGTTACTTCATGTCTGTGTTTTACAAATTGTTCACTTATCGAAAACTTTTTAATCCAGCACTCCGAAAACTATAAAGAAATTTGTTGTTTTTTTTTTTTTATCTACCGTGTTACTACTCTGATGTTTTATTTCTCATGCTACCGAATTCCTATCTTCATTTTTCATTGAACTGCACTGTACAACAATTTGTTTTGGAACTTCAATGGCATACTAGATCTCTTTACGTGATGCAAGTGGCATAGATATAAATTGATTTTTCTTGTCAAATATTGGGCTAGCTCTCCTCTGCTTGTCGGTCGATTTTCGTGAGTTCATTATCTCTTCTCTTTCTCTCTTTCTTCTGTTGATAATATTAAAGTGTTTCGATGTTGTACTGTTGATAAACAAAATATTTTTCTTCAATGACCTTGACCAGCACAGTAATAAACAGTCGAATAGCAAGTGCATTCTGAAGGTCTTCGAAGGCAACTTTGGAAATTCGGTTACACCATTAAAAATAAAGTTTATATTTTTGAATCTGTTCATTTTTTTTTTATAATGACTTAGTTCAAGGTTGATATCCATTGTCTCATTCTCATATTTATATTCTCGCCGTTACTCATATGTCCTTTAGACATCGACGTGCATCACGGTGCCACGTCCTCTTTTGCTAAACAACCTATAACTCTGTATTCTACCATCCTCTTACTTTACACCATTTTTCCGTTTCTGCTCTAATCTGCGGACTTTGAAGTGCATCCTTGTGCCATGGCTTCTTGTATCCGAGAAAATAAAGCTTTCTTCGAAATTATAATGACATTCTTGCTTTGCTCTTCAGCTACACTTCACACTCTTCTAGACTTCATTTTTTATCTCTTCTGGGAACATATTTCTTTCACAGTTCTCATTTTTTTTTTAACTCAACTATTCCACTTTTTCTGAATCCGTGTTTCAGATACCCGCCTCCTTATTGGTTTCGGCAACTGTTGTCTCCAGACATTGAGGTGCATCTTTGTGCCCTGTCCTTCTGTGCCTGAGTAACAGTCGTTGCATTCCCGAGGCTACTCTCTCGACTTTTGATTGTCTCTTCTCTAACATGTGATCATGTATCACTACGTTTACCTTTGGACGCTGCAGTCCTCCTTTTCCTTTGACTTCTTTCTATACCTTGGAGTATCTGGGATATATATTGTTTGGTGAACCAGAGAACTGGAATTCCCCTGTTCACCGGAATTCGCTGCCAATTCCAGTGGCATCGAACTCATATCTTCTTTGAGTACGGTTGAAGTGAAGGCTTTCAAGGTATTCCTGATTTCAACTAGATTATTTTCCATTTCAGCTAACCTCACTTTTATCTCTTTTTCTCAATCGTTATTTTCTTCTAATAACTCAATAACTTCATCTAGAATATACATTTCCCCTGTTCCCCAGTCTATTTTCGCTCCACATCTTTGTAAAAAATCCAACCCCAGCAGCATATCAGCTCTGAAGTTTGCTGTTTCTATGAGAATAAATTCGTGTTCTATAGTTTTTCTCAGGTTCAAATTAATCGGAATAATAACCTTCCCTTTATCGCTAATTTTCCTCCCTTGGATATCAAC